TCATCCCATCTTGCACATTTAGATAGCCAGGAGAGGTACATCATATAGCTAATTTTATTTCATTCACTATTGAATAATAGACCTTTGTATACCGCACTCTTGCACATTTTAAACACACACGTGTCAAAATTATCTCAGTTGAAAAATTCGCCATGTCCATATTTTATCAAATGTATCTCGATTGAGAAACTATTATTTCTGCGAAATATTCGTTTCTCAACTGAGATACTTGATTAAGATATGGATTATATCTCAGTCGAGAATATATTTGTATCTCAGTTGAGTCCAAAGCGAAACAATGTCATTTCCAAAAGAAGAAGAAATAGATCGAATTTATTTAAAAGTTTAGAATCAATTATATATAGTACATCACACTTTATACTATACTGCTTCATAATAAATCTATGTTAATACGATTGAGTGGAATGATGAGTTTCATCATTTTCTACCACTTGGTTACTGAGAAACAAAACAATCAAGTTACAGAACAACACTAACTATAAATAACTTTAAAATTTTTATTTCCCTGCAAGTCAACAACGACGGCACAGTATGAAGGACAATTGTTTAATAAACATACATGGAGCAGATATATATCAACATGAAAAGTGTTCGAAGGACGGACGATCTTTTTCTTTATCCTTTCTTAGAACAGTGAAATCGTTACATTTACATTTTTCTCCTCTGTTTGGAAAAGAAAGATTTTTTTATTCCTTTCGACAAAACATTTCTTTTTCACTCTTGTTTTTCAAGAGTAGAGACACATTTACAGCAGAACGGAATATAATTTTAATAACAAAATAACGGTTAGTCGTAAAAACCGAGTCAAAATTAACTTCTACAATGAAGAATACTTATATACTAAAAACAAACGTCTGCAATGCAGAGGAAAAAGAAAAATATTTTGATGAAAAGAGTGAAAATATTTTTTTTGGAAAAAAAAGAAATCTAGGTGTGTAATAACTTCACTATGTAAGAAAGAGCGAAGAAAAAGATTGTCCTTGAGACACTTTTTTTCGTACTTACATATATTTGTTTCTTTTATGGGTACGAAACATCTCCTACGTACTGAGATATCGTCGTCATTATATAATTCGTGTCCCAGTGCATATAAATACAGTGTATCAAACATGGATGATAATACTGACAAGGATAAATTTAGTGATTATGCAAATGAACATAGTCCAACTGAAAAGTTTTTAGGTACGCACCCGACAAAAAATACTAGTTATGAAAATGAGTCGAATTGTTGTTCGAAATGGTGGCATCAAGGTTTCCCACATCAACGTCATATTTGTCATGTAGTAGAACAAACATATTTTCATATACTCATTATATTTTTTGTTTTTATTGATTGTATACTAGTTCTCGTTGAAATAATGCTTGATATTATTAAATTGAAAAGTGAATGTGAACAGCACGACCATCATAATGAATACATCGAATTAACGCTAGAAATTTGTCATTATTCGAGTATCGCTATCTTATCATTATTCGTTATTGAACTCTTTGTTAAAATCTATGCATTTGCAAGAACCTATTGGAACTTACATGAGAAAAAGATGGAATACTTAGATGCTGTTATTGTTCTTTTATCATTAGCCATTGATCTGTACTTTTTGAAAGGCGAAGAAAAAGCAATTGGTCACCGAACGTTGTTAATTGTATCGTTTCGCCTATGGCGAATTGTTCGAATTATTAACAGTATGTATAAACAGAAAATATTCAGACCCGGTCTCTGCACGACACAATTGATTCAAAAGTAATGATTGAAATGTCTATCGCTACTAACGAGGAATGATCCCCAACTGATAAATCGCTTTTTCAACGAAACCGACT